GGTTGTACAGCTCAAAGAATGTAATCAGCGTCACTGACTTGTATATGTAGCAATTGTGGAATTGTTATGTTCTGCTGTGTATATTCTCAACAACAAAAATAAGATAATTTTATTTTAAAACATAAGCGGTCTAAACACTCCAATTAAAAAGTTAAGTTTGTCAGATTGAATGAAAAATAAGATCTAATTATATTCTAGGAACTCTGGTGGCTCAATGCTTAAGGCATTTGACTGATAACCAGAAGGTTGGTAGTTCAAATCCACCAGAAGTTGTGCAGAAGGAAGATGGAGCAATCTATTTCCATAAAGATTTACTGCCTTGGAAACCCAATGGGGGTTGCTATGAGTGGGAATAGAGTCGATGGCTGTGGGTTTAGTTTAATTACATGCTGTCTTAAAAAAAAATCCACTTTAAGTTTATAGTGAGGAAAGTTAAAAGGATGGAAAAAGATATGTCATGCAAACACTAATGAATAGAAAACTGAAGTGACTGTATTAATCAGACTAATAAGCCTTCAGAACAATATCACCATGGATAAACAGCATTTTATATCGATGAAGAAAACATATCAATCTCAAATGTTTCCACACCTAAGAACAGAACTTTCAAAACACATGAAGCAAAACTGAGAGAACTAAAAGGATAAATAAAACTAAGGAGAAAGATCTAGGGATCACTTGTAAGTGTGAAGTCATCAGCTTAAGAGATGGAAGGGGTGGTCACAGTAACCAAAAAGATCACCTTGAAATGATGTAAAAAAAAAAAAAAAAAAAGCCTCCAGGACAGAAACCTGGGCCACATTAGCATTTCCTTTCCAGGGTGAAGAGAGAAGATCTCACAAAGAATGAAAACCATGTGGGTGGAACACCAGGAGAGTGTGGTATCATGGAATGCAAGGGAAGAGTGTGACCCGTCACGTCAGGTTATGTCAAATGCTGCTGAGAGATGAACTAGGAACCAAAAGGCTTCAGCTGGATTTATGATGAAAATCACTGGAGATGCTGGCATGAAAAGTGCCAGTGGAGAAGTTGGGGCCAAAGGTAGATTGAAGTAGACTGAGGACTCAGCAGATGAGGAAGTGGAAATAACAAACACTGACTTTGATTTCAATAAGCTTGGCTGAGAAGCGTAGGAGAGAGAGGAGGTTGTAAAGTTGGTGTTTGTTTTTTAACTGGGTTAGAGTGGAAAGACCCAGAAGAGATGGAGACAATGAAGATATAAGAAAAAGAGGGTATTATGCATTGAATTATGTCCAGTGTCAGATTACCCAATAAGGTAAGCATGGGTTTACTTGTGCTTACTAATGTATACTGAACAATTTCACTTTTTTTTTTTTTTTTTTAACCACATCAAAGATTCTGCTTCTAGATATGGCTAGCTTCTGTCACTCTCTCCCAACCCAACACACAGCACATTCCTACAGAATCAAAGCCTCTTTTCAAAGTTAAGCATAGACTTACTTGTGCTCACTTACTAATCTGTACTGAACAATTCCACCTGGGGTTCAACACATCTAACCCATGCTTACCCTACTTTTGGGTAATCCGCTCCTGACTGTATCCCCCAAAAAGACATGTTAAAGTCCTAATCCCTGTACTTATGGATGTGACCTTATTTGGGGAAACAGTTTTTCTTTGTAAATATTATCAATTAAGTTAAATGAGATCACACTGGAGCAGGGCAGGTCCTAATGCTAATCCCTTGGGCAATCTACTTCCATAGAGATACTGCTTCGGAAACCCAAGAGGGGTCGCTATAAGTTGGTCAGACGGGACGGCAATGAGTCTGGTTTTGAGTCAAACCAGAAAACCAAACTCACTGCCATTGAGTTGATTTGACTCATAGCGACCCCTCTTTACGTTTCTGAGGCAGTATCTCTACGGAAGTAGATTGCCCATTCTTTCTTCCGATGAATGGCTTGTGGCTTTGAACTGCCAGCCTTCTGGTTAGCAGTCAAATGCCTTAGGCACTACGTAGCTTCTTATAAAAGAGAAGGATAGAAAAAGACACGTTTAAGATCTGTCTACAAACAAAGCAACACCAAGCAAGGCCCACGGCCCGCAGAAACTGAGACAAGGAAGGATCTTCCCCTAGAGCCCACAGAGCATAGTCCTGCAGGCCCCCTGAATTTGGACTTTTGGCTTTGAGAATGGTGAGAAAATCCATTTCTCTTCTTTAAAGTCACCAACTTCGTGGTATTTTGTTATGGCAGCCCTAGGAAACTAAGGTAATGAACATGAGTAACAGAGAGAGGTACTGGCGGCGGGTGGGAGAAGGACACTTGTCCCTCACTATGATGGGGACCAGAGGCATGGACAGATATGAATACAGGTAACTTTGGAACTTGGTGAGAAAAGTGAAGAATTTCCTCCTGACAAGTTTTCTTTTCTCTGTGAAGGATTCTACGTTGAGTGCTGGGAATGTGTGGGCTGATGTATAGAAAGTTGTGTGAGCTCTTGGAAAAAGCTGTGTGGGAAACTAGAATGACTAGGCACTGCTGAGGGCTCAGTTGAGGCTGTGGACCATGGATTTGGATTTGTGTCAATTGATGAAAGGATCCCCACTACAACCACCTATCATCTAGGATTAGAGAAAGCAGATGGTTACCATGTTCTAGGGTTGGAGTGATTAAGAGTCCAGCTTGTGAACAGTTAACAGCTGAAGTGAAACCACCAGGTCCAGATTGAATAGCAACAAGAGCTGACACACAGCAAGAGAAAAACTAGAAGTCAGGAGCCTAAAGGTCTTCATGAACAGCTACGGTGGAGGTGAGGGAGACAGAATGCATAGCAGGTGCAGAGATTAAGATTTCAGAGGTGCGACAGTTTCAAATGATGAGAAAACCCTTGGGAATGGGTTGAAGACCAGAAACTCAGAGACTGGGACATGGAGGAACTGTCCTCACAAAATTTGAAGCTTCCAATATGATGGTGGAGCCTGGGATGAAAATATTGTGAGTTAAGACTCAAAGTTCTCTTGCTTTAGCTGTGCCACTAAGTGGCCGGTCATCTTACTTTACCATCAGTTATGACTATTCCCAACCTACAGAGATATGTCCCTACAATCAGCCCATTAACCCTGAGGCTGCCTGGTTCCTCACCTCCATTGTCCATCTACTCACAGCCCTGTGTGCCCAATGAAGGACTGGCCACAGGTGATATGTCACACTTGTTGCCATCATCTTGAATTATGTACTTCAGCCTGGCATGAGGGGCACTGGCAGAGCTTTCAGACATACTCAATATGGAAGTGCCAGAATGGTGATGAGGACCCTTGAATTCACTTCCCAGAAATGAAACCATTCAGAAACCCAGTACGGTCAGGAGTCCCTGCCAGTCAGCCATCAGATGTAAATGTACATATAGGCCATGCAATGCTCACGGCTTCTTACATACAACCAGAAGACCACTGCTTCTCAGGAGCCCCTTCACCCCCATACAGTGAGGCTGGCTCCTATATATTCAGTGTACACAGCTGGTGCAGAGAAAGAGCCCCAACTCTAATCCTAACTCTGCCATGAACTTGCAGTGTGACCTTGCCCTGCCTGCCCAAGCCTCAATTTTCCTTGGTAAATGATGGGTTAAATGTGGGATCTCAAAGGCTCTTGCAACCTTGACAGTCTATGGGTAGTAGGTGCAGAAAGGAGACTCTCACTAGCACACATCACTTAAAATGCACCAGCTGCAGAAGACAAATGAGCTGAGAGTCTTCAAGCCTCATTAAGTTCATCACAGCAGAATCATCCCTCTGGGGTTCATTATTTGCATCCCTCCACATCTTCCTCCTCCGCTAGCCTTCCTCCTCCTTCCCAATAGCCTCTGAAGTGGGCTCAGTGATACCACCTGGCCCCATCTTTCCCTTCATGAGATTTTCTTTAAGCTAAAAATTCAACCTGATTTGAGGCTGTGTGTAGAAAAGAAGTACAGGAGGCACCTGCCATGGGGCCATATCTGAGTCCCACAGTTCTCCACAGAACTTCTTTATGAGGGCATTATCATCACAAACCCCATCAGAAACCCAGGACCAACATCCACAAGGGGTCACACTAGAGTTCCAGTTGTCCCCTCTTCTCATTTCTCTGGCCTGGTCCCTGCAGGGCAGAAAGATTCTTCAGGTACTGGGGACCCTCAGCAACCATTCTGCAGCTAGAGAAGGGGTCTTACCATTTAGCCTCATCTATACACAAAGCCTGGAAGAAAGGTTGGGCAATCTACTTCTGTAGTGATACTGTCTCGGCAACCCAAGGAGGGGTTGTTATGAGTCAGGGCTGACTCGACAGCACATAACAACAACAACATACACGAGGCCCAGCCCCCCTCTTCCACAGGGAAGCTGTTCCTGCTGATCTCCTGGACTAAGAAATACATCTGAGAGACTCCTACCTCAGAAAAGAATAAATGAGGCCCTGGTCAGGAGCTACTTGAGAACAATAAGACCTATCTCCTGACTGTGGAAGACAGGCCTGGGGATTCCAGTCTGGGGCAGATAGTACTCAGGTCTGGGTGTTTGGACAATAGGGAGGTATGGGAACTGGAGCTCTAACATCAAGATTTCCTCAGGGGCCCTGCGGCATGGCTTGACCACATGTAGAAGATACCTCCCCTCTCGGAAGCCTGTCTGAGTGAATCCCAGGATAGGCTGGGGAATGGAGCTAGAACTCTGGACCCTCATCAACATAAGTTGGCTAGAGTCAGGGCACAGGAGGACCAAAGAGGAACAAACCAAGTCCATAAGAGCCACAGTCAGTACAAACTTTGCCTACTGGTCATTTCCTCCCCTATACTCCATTACATATATATATATATATATATATATATATATATATACACACACACACACACACACACATGCACACACATGCACACACAACAGTAGGTATGGCATCCATTGCCACTGAGCCACCCACATCCTCCCCACCACCTCCATGCACAGTGTGGGTGGCCTTCTCCTTACATGTCCTTTCTCAGGGCCAGCACACCCTCCTCCCCTCCCAGCTCACCAAGCAATCTCTCTCGCGTCCTTCAAGTAGTTCCTTCTCCTGGTTGTTCTCCTGAGGAGGAAAAGAAGGGGTAACTCCATGCCCTTACTGACTCCCTCACCATCCCTGTCCCTTGTCTGGCCAAACTGTGGTCACTGAAGGCCTATTTCAGTGCTCAGGTCTTAGCCACTTGTTATGGTGAGTTAAGTTATGGATCAGGTTCAGGGACTTCCATAGGGTGCTCACTCAGAATAGCATGCAAGCAGTCCAGAATGAGGGTAGCAGTGACCAGAATATAGGAATGGAATGAAGAATGAAGAATGGGATGGAGTGGGTATAGGGTAGAAGGACGATTCCCTCAGAAAAGGCAAGAAAGCAGAGCTGCAATGGGACTCAGAGCAAGGGGAGAGGCCCTCACTCACAGAGTTGAGGAATCTTCCAAGATTCCAGGGCATGTGAAGCTGTGAAGTCTCCTGTTCACCTGTCTAGAGTTTGAGGGGTTTGGGGAGATGGGCTGAGGTGATGGAGGACCAGCACCAGAGGGAAGAGGAAGTCTTAGGACTGCAAAGAGGTTGATGGTGGCAGATAGGTGGAGCTGAGGCACAGATGGGGTTCGTAAGCTGAAGGTGGGGTGTGGATTGCTTACCGATCTCTTTGGTGTCCCCGGTGGCCTTGTTTCAGGGGCCCAGGTTTCCTGTGCTGCTTTGAATGCGGAGCTCCCATGAGCCTGGGAGTGCCTCCTGGGAATAAAATCCCTGTCTTGGCAAAAGTGTGCAAACCCAGAAAGAAGGAAAAGGTGTCTTGGCCCCCATGGTAGCCAGAGGATGGAGTGAGTCTAGGGGATGATCCTATTTCGGGTTGAAATTCCATGTATCATTCAGCTCAGTACTGAAGCTACCATGAGCTCACTTGTGTGTGTGTGTGTGTGTGTGTGTGTCTTCCTTCATCACCATGGCAACAGTCAGACTAACCACCACTATCTGATTAATTAGGATCTGGAAACCCTTCTGCTGGTCACAGCCTTCTTCCCAACCCTGTCAGCACCAGACTGAACCCCCAAGGCATCCCCAGCAGCCATGCCACAGAGAAACCCAACTGCCAGTTTCCATGGCAACACAGAGACTATGTATCCCTGCATCTGTAGGTTACTATAGCAACTCAGGCAGAGCCAGGTGCACTAAGACTCCATCTATGGAAGAACCACAAGCCAGAGGACACATTCACTAATGTCCCATCTATGACCAGCCCTGTGCAAGAGATCAGTGGCAGGCTCTGTGCCAAGCAGGAGTGGGGGACAGAATCACAAACATTCTGCCTTTTAGGGGCTAATGAGGAACCTAAGATATGCTCATGTGTGCCCTCAGCCCTTTGTCCTCTCACTCCACTCCACCTAAGGCACCTGAGTGATCTCATCCTCTCACAAGCCTTCACCTTCCACAACTCTTCTGACAGGCTAAGAACTTACAAGCCTGCATTGCGGGCTCACCCATCCCCTAAAAGTTAAACCCTTTTACCTATCTGCTCTCTGGACACATTCTCATGGGTGTTCTATAGCACATTACACTGATGAATACAGTTTTACGCTTCCTGCAAGTCTAACCATTCATTCTGTATATTCTGCTTCAGTGAATGACACCACTCAAGCCCCCCAGACACCCTTTTTTCCCTGCCTACCATTTTCCACCAATCCAGATAATCATCAAGCACTTCTGATGTTATCCACCATCAACTCTACCCACCCCCTTCCCTAGACTCACTTCCTTGTTAGGGCCTCCATGTTGGTTGCCAAGATTGATCTTGACATCAGCTTTTTGGCATCAGATGGTGTCTGTCTCCAACTTGCTCCTCTCAAACCCATCCTCACACTGCACTAGGGTAACTTTTCTAAATACAAATCTGATGTCCCCTGCCCTGCTTAAACCCTTCAGTAGCTCCTTCCTGCCTCCAGCAGAGAATCTAAGCTACTTTACCTGGCTCAGAGGCTCTTGATGATTTGCTGTTGTTGTTGTTGTTGTTATGTGCCGTCCAGTTGGACCCGACTCACAGCGACCCCTCCTTGGGTTTCCGAGACAGTATCACTACGGAAGTAGATTGCCCAACCTTCTTTCTGAGAAGTGGCTGGTGGATTTGAACCACCAGCCTCTGGCTACCAGTCAAGTGCCTTATGCACGACACTACCAGAGCTTCTTGATGATTTAGATCCTGCCAACTCCTCCAGCCTCATCTATCAAGCCCCACTCTAATTCCCTGATCATATCACCTTCTGTCTTTCCCTTCCTTACCTACACAACCCCACTGCTTCCCTTCCTTTCCCATTCTTGGCCATGCTCTTACAAAATTTATACTCAGATTTTCAACATGAGCTTGGAACCATAATTAGGAATATTTGTGATTCAGTTTTAAACTTGTATGGGAAAAGTGATGCCCGAGTGCAAAATTAGACATTCTTGACCCCACCCTGACTGGACTCTGGAGACCTGGACCTTTAAGTTTGCCAACAGGACAAAGAAAGACTGGTGAAGAGACTGTAAGTGGCAAGGGGAAGAGGGTGCAAAAGTGAACTCATTCTGTTAATTCCGATGGCCTCCAGAAAACAAAAGAATCACAGACTGTCAGCTGAGAAGGGCATCTCATCTCACTTCCTCATGTGACAGATGGGAAAATCAGGCTCACAAGGAGGAAGGGTCAGACCAAGACCAGGCCCAGGTCTCCCAACATCCAGTCTACTGCTCTCTCCACTGCAACACAATGCCTCAAAGCTCTACAGCCAGCCCAAGGAAAGGCTGAAGGGAAGTGTGCATAGATACACTGCATGGGAGCAGCTCCCAAGTGGGAAAGAGAATGTGTGTGCACACCTGGAATTGGGACCCTCATTCCTCCATCTCTCACAAACGCTTTCAGTGTTCTCTGTTCTCCTGTGGGTGGAATGGAGTCATTCAGTCAGAATCAAAGGGCACACCTCAAAGCCGATGCTCCAATCAGCACTTAGTCAAGTGTGGATGGTCACAGAAGCATGGCACTCTCCCTGTTCCCCTTCTTTCCCAAGTTCAGAGTCATACATAGTATTAAATCAGGGCAAATGAAACAGGAGGATGCCATATAAACTATACATGAAGCCACTTCCTCCAAAGAGGCCCATCTTCACCTTGAGGCTGGCCTGTGGGGCCCAGCTGCTACTGAGGCTTCTGCTCATGAGAACTTGGGAGGTTAGAGAGGGATGACCAAAAAGAATCACAGAACCTCAAGGCTGGATAAACAGCACCTCACTCTTTCCCTGGGACAGGTGGTTACGAAAATCTCTTATTGTCAAGGCACCCTCTCTTGCCAGAGTGGTCCCCACCCCCGACTTCTGCACAACTGGTAATTTCCTCTTCATTCCTAACCCAAACACTCCACTCTTTGGCTCTAATTCTGTCCTCCAAGGTCTCATAGAACATGACTCTTCAGTCTGCTTATATGTAACAGTCCATAGAAGGTTTGAATAATGGCCACATGGTCACAGTTCTTCACAGTATCGGAGCACTTTTATGTACATTTAGCTCATTTAATGACAAGCATACCTTCTAACCAAAAAAAAAAAAAAAAACTCACTGCCATTGAGTCAGATCTGACTCACAGTGCCCCTCCTTGGGTTTCTGAGATGGTATCACTACAGAAGATTGCCCAACCTTCCTTCCCAGGAGTGGCTGGTGGGCTTGAACCACCAGCCTTCTGATTAGCAGTCAAATGCCTTAGGGACCTTAGGGACTACGCCACCAGAGCTCCTCAAGCATACCTTCTAAGGAGGGCATTATTATTTTTATTTTTATTATTTTTTATTTTTGCAGTGTTCCCTCCCCTCCCATCCCTGATTACCAACAAAGTTTTCTTCTATACATAAACCTTTCCTTGACTTTTTACAATAATGAACTAATACAATCTCTGTCCTTTCGTGATTGATTTAGTTCACTCAGAATAATGTCCTTAAGGAGGGCATTATCATTGACATTTCACAGATGAGGAAACTGAAGCTCAGAGAGGGGAAGGAGCTTGCCCAGAAGTAGGAGAGCAGGGACTAATGACCTACTGCCAGGCTGGGTGACCAGGGTGTGTACCAGCTCTGTGGTGCTAGGGAGGTCTCAGACAGTGCTTCTGAACCATTGCACCTGAGATCCTTGGGCCTCCCACTGTGATAGGTGTCTGGACACTGAGTGGCCAAGTGACTGTGGCCTGGACCTTGTCAATGGCTTGATGTGACAATGCCTCGAGCCCTGGATATAATCTGGCAGCTCGAGCAAGGTATTCTTCAATGCTGGTATTTTTTAAATAATTTGTTTAACTGGTGGAAGAACAGGAGAAGAGCTTTCTATGGTGAGAGGTGCCTCAGTGTATAGATTCCATTCAGCCAAACAAAGGCCCTTCAGAAGTCTATTTATCAAGCATCCATGTTTACTACAGGGCTTCACCTCCCTATCACAGTCCATCACTGTCTTCCTTCAGCTACAGAAGGTCCTCGCTCTGGGAGGAGTTCAGGTGAATGTAATTTTCTCCAGCTCTGTACATTCCCAGTAGTATTTTAGTTTCCTTTTAGATGAGTGTATCAGGAACACTGTTAGGTGCACCTGCACTGATTCAGCTCTGGCTGGATATATTTATGGGAGTAGAGGAAGAACAGCATGTTGTGTCCTCCAACTACCATGGTAGTTATTATGGCAACCTGCGGGCCCTCCTTGTGGTGTCTGAAGGCTGAAGTAGGGACCGAAGGAACAGAGAGGGGGATGGGCATCAGGGAACAGTTGCTCCTGGTCTGGGTGGGCCCTCTGGATTCCCTGCTGCCCTGGGGCCCAGCTGAGAGAAGCTGAGCCACTCACCTGAAGCTGTAGAATATTGAGAGCTGATGGAAAGGGGGGTGTTAGGGCCCAGTAATAAGGAGGGGAGCAGAGCAGGTCTAGGGTGAGCTGAGGGAGGTACTCTCCTGAGGTATACAATTTAAGGGGTGCCAAAAAAAAAAAAACCACCTCAGTAATCAAGACAAATGATATAAAATCAAATTAATGCAAGAATATCCATGATAAAATACCAAAATTTTAAATAAAGACAGGATCTGACAGGGCTGGGATTAGGGTGAGGCAAATGGGGCTGAGTCCTATAAATGCAGGGTTCATTCCTATCTGTTAAAATTTCGATATTTTGTTCATTATGGATATTTTTGCGTTAATTTTTATTCTTAAAAAATATTGCATCGAAACGTTATTTGTTTTGGGGTCCCAAGTGGAGCAAATGATTAATGTACTCAGGTACTCACCAAAAGTTGGAGGTTTGAGTCTACCCAGAGGCACATTTAGCAATCTACTTCCAAAAAATCTGTCACTAAAAACCCTGCAGGGCACAGTTCTACTGACACACATGGGGGTCTCCAAGACTTGGAGTCAACTTAAAAGTAATTTTTAAAAATTTGTCTTCATCACTGTTTTTTTTTTTTGCATCTCCACCCTTAAATTTTGTCCCAGGGTGAATGCCTTATTTGTTTCCCTTAGTTTTGGCCCTAGGAGGGAGGGACAGCTTGAATCAAGATGGATGGAACCTTTGAGCAATTAAAAACATATAATGGGACAAGGAAGACATGGGTTCATGTCTGTAAACTGTGGGCATTCCTCTCAGTTCTGAGAGAGTCAGTTTAAATTTCACAAGACTGCAAGAGGAAGATTGCCGCTGGGGAGAGAGCACAGGGCCTAGCATGCACGTGGACCCCCCACATACTGGGGTGACTCATAAGGTGGCTCTCATCTCCTGCCCGGGCTCAGGCTGGCTGCAAAGGGGAGGGGTGGGAAGAAGTGAGGGGTGGCAGGGAAGAGGCTGG